ATCCAAGCTTGTAATGAGGTCTTTCCTAATGCTGAACACAGGTGAAATATGTACTATATTCCTTCAATATATTTACTTCATTGACTGAATTTTAACATTTCTTTTATATTGATAATATTTCAGGTTTTGTGTTAGGCATATGCACAATAACATGAAGACTGCTGGATATAATGGGCATGCTTATAAAGTGGCTGTGTGGAGGGCTGCCAAAGCTGCAACTGTGAATGACTTTCAAAGGGCAATGGCTGCATTAGAAGAATTAGACCCTGATGCCCATCAGTGGTTATTGGACAAACCTCCTTCACAGTGGAGCAAATCACACTTTTCTACCAGACCTAAGTCAGATATGCTCCTCAATAATTCTTGTGAAACATTTAACAGCAACATTTTGGAGGCTAGAGATAAGCCAATTTTAGCCATGCTTGAATGGATGCACAAGTACCTGATGGAGAAGAGAAGAGAAAACTGGGAGAGAGCTATTAGAAAGTGGAGAAACAAAGTTGTATAGCCTAGGATACAAGAAATTATTCAAAACAACTTGTCCAAGGTACCTGATTGCATTCCTGTGAAGGCCAGTGATGTTCATTATCAGATTTCATGTAGTGATGGGAGCCAATTCACAGTGGACTTGAGTCAGAGAGCATGTGGTTGCAGAAAATGGGATCTTACAGGAATCCCATGTGTTCATGCACTTTCTGCAATTCACTGTGGAGGTCTAGACCTGGATACATTTGTTGACAGTTGCTATTATGTTCATACTTACCACAAAGTGTATGAACACATCTTGAAGCCTATTAATGGAAGGGATCAGTGGCCAATTTCAGATTTCATTCCCCCTGAACCCCCTGTAGAATGGAGAAATCCTGGGAGACCTTCAACTTTAAGGAGGCCAGAAGTTGATGAGGTCAGGAATAAAAACAAAAAAAAAAACCAAAAAGGGCAGTCAGGAGCAATGATCCATACAAGATAAGAAGACAGTATAGTGCTGTGACATGTGGTAAATGTGGTGGAAAAGGCCACAATAGAAGGTACTGTTCTCAGCCTCAAAGTGAGAGTGGCAGTGGAGTCCCAACAGGGGTTGGTGACACTCAATCTGAGAATGCCAATGAAGTCCAAACAGAGGTTGTTCATAGTCAATTTGAGGGTGGCAATGAAGTTCCTGCAAATGTTAATGATAGTCAACCAGATTTTTGCAGTCAAGTCACACAAGTTGAACCTACTCAAACCTCTCAGGTGAAATATGCACTATAATCCTTCAATATATTTACTCCATTTACTGAATTTTAACTTTTTTTTTTAATAATTGTAATATTTCAGGTTGACAATGTGGGATCATATGCTAAAAGGCCACTTCAACATCCTCCATCAATATGGGATCAACTACAAGCCCAAAAAACAACAAGGCCATCTGGACCTATTGAAGGGGGAAGAAAATTTGTGACATTAAGTCAGTTGCATGCCACCCTAGATAAGATGAAGGGACCTGCCAATTTGGACAAGGGAAAAAAGAAGAGAAAAAATATCTGATTTGTTGTTTTAGCTTGGGAACTATGGACACTGATGTGTTTAGAACAATATATCTGTTTTGGTTTTGTTTTTTGGTTTAGGGAAAACACTGGAGATGTTTGGTTATTTTGTTGTTTTGAACTTGGCTGGAGTTGGGAAATATGGTTGTTTTGGGAAATTCTATTATTAGTTATTTGGTTGCTTTGAACTTGGCTGGGCTGGGGATGTATGGTTCTGTTAATGTTCATGTTATTTAATGTATGGGGATGAATGTCTAAAAGATGTGAACATATTTGTCTTTTAAATATGGTTTCTTGTATCTGTTTGTCATATTCCATAATAAGTTGTAACATATGAAACACAAACCATCATAAACAAAGGACACCATAAAAACAAAATAGGAACATTGAAATTCAGCCAGAAATCATACAAAATAGGTCACCATAAATCATACATTCGGGTTCATAAAAACAAAAGATTTAGCCACCATGAAGGAACATGGTGTATACATTCAGAAAAAGGAACATTACTAAACTAAAATAAACTACCATACAGATAAAAAAAATTAGGAAAAGACACCATGAAATCTTCAAGTAAACCTTGAGCCACTTTCTTTCTTTCTCCAAGGATTTCAGCTCAGATTCAAGTATCTCATTTTCAGTATGAAGCCTTGATATAATCTCAGAAGCTCGATTGGGAATCGGCGGATCAACCCAGAAAAAGAAAGTACAGCCACCCCTCTGATTTAAAAAACATAAGATAGCTAAATTAGGGTTTCACTCTTGGAATGCATTGAATAAATCAAACTTAATTTGTGAAAAATAGAATAACCTACATTCCAATCCTTGCAGCCATTGAATCGTCTCCCTGGGTTTTCTTGAGTCCATGACGTCCGCACTTGAGCTCTCTTCCCGCAATGGCAAAACACGATTCCTGAGTTTCCCACTGAAGACGACATCCCTTAACAAGATCGCCGATGTGTGTTGATTTTGGGGCAAGGTTGAGTTTTCCCTAATCAAGATCGAATACTTCTCTATCAATACCCTAGTTCTTTATAATTGGGGAAAATGATTTGGATCCCGTTTTTAATTTCTGTTTTTTATGCCATTTTTTATTTTATATTTTAAATACACGTGTGCGGGTTAAATGACACGCAGGCGGGTTAAAAGACACGCGGGCGGGTTAAAGGACACGTAGGCTCATCCGGTAACCTCGACCTGCAGTAGGCGGTCAGAGGACCAAAAAACTAATTTTTTTTCAATTAGGGGACTATTTCCAAAAACCGTCCATTAGCGGGACCAAAATGAAAATGGCCTGCAGATAAAGGACGAAAAAACTTTTTTTTCCTTATGTACACCCTTATGTACAATATTATGTATCTATAGCATTACTCTTTTTTTTCTACTACAAAGGTTCTTCCTTTTTTTCTCTTCTTGATTGATTTTCTATCACATATATATGTATACTTTTGCTTGATTTTATTTTCCTTATAAACTTGTTATTCTGTTTTCTCAATCCTTTGCTTTTGATGCTTTATTGTTATGTTCATGCTTGATCGAATTGAATTTACATTTATTTGGCTTGTGAACGTTAAGGAAGACGGTGAACTACTGGAAATCGAAGGTCCTTCCGAAGATCAAGAAAGCTTTCTAGAACCCGAAAAAGGCGGCTGCAGCAGAGACCTGCAAAGGCCTTTGATGAAGTAAGGTAGTTTTGTTAATTTCTAGTAACTTAGGAAAATCTTTGGGGAAATACATGTGTTAGTTGTACATATGCTTTCTTTATTATATAGGAGCAATATTCGAAAGAGTTGGATGAGAAAAAAAAAAACCGAGCTTCAACCAAAAACGTTGAAATCTATGAAGCTTCCTCGACCGAGCTTAAGGTATATATATGTCATGAGTAGAAACTACACAGACTGACTTAAGCTATGGTGTAGTTTTTTATCGCAGTTGGTTAAGGGTTTGGTGCTTTTGTTCGTTAAGTTCCCAGACGAGCTATCAAGTGATTTATCCCCTATCTACTTTGTACTTAGTAGCATTGCAATTTCACAATCACCATATATTGCTATGCTTAGACATAACTTAATCCCCTCTCTACTTAGATAGCATGATATGAAGATGATCATGCAATTTCACAATTTTCATACGCTATGCTTAGACTTGAAAAAGATATTAAATGTCAGTTTATTACTAATGTTGTTGTTGTACCTCTTCTTAATCCACCTTTTTTTTTTCAGAGTTAGGTGTATGGGATGGGATGTCTTGTTCCATTTATTCGCATTTCCGTTTTTGGGTCTTTGAAGGGATTCGAAACATACGGGCCTTAGGCCAAGATGTCGGTTTTTGTCGATTTACGAAACCCTAGTGCTGATATGCGAATAGACTGTTGGTCAATCTACTGATCAAGTGGAAAACAAGCCGCCCAATGAAACGTGGACGTCCATCCTCAAAAGTATAATTGTCACGTGTACTCAACACGTGTCCATATGTTACGCTTTTAGATGACATGACTCATTTTTGTGCCATCATGACGTTCTTGTTTAGGATTGTATAAATATATCAAATTATTTTCCCACGTTGGACCATGAAGCATTCAACATTCAAGAACAACACACTCGTAGCAATAATTACGTCATTTTCACCACCGATCTTATCGCTTTGACGATCTCAAATAACTATGTAATATACGTTTTTAATCCTAGATTTTTTATACAAAACACGGGCTCATAATGATTTTTGGTGAAACTTGGCTAAAAAATACTAGTTCAAACCACATTATCTTAATCCAATAATCATCCAATAATCCAAGTGACAATCTAGACAATCATAAGGATAATACTTCCCCTCCCACTAATTTTAATTATAAATTATTTATTTATCATTGTACAAATATTATGTCATATTATTTTTATTCATTACATTGTATTTTTGTATCTTCATTATTCAAAAATTAAAAAATCTACCACTTATCTCGATTTTTTTTCATTATTTATTTATTTTTTTTTTTCCTTTTTTTACAACTCCTTACACAAAAATGTAACGATCTATTTACGGTTGTTCTAGCGCCACGCCACCGCTTTTATACGATCAATATGAGCAGCAAATTCGAAAAAAAAAAAAAAAAANAAAAAAAAAAAAAAAAAGTTAAATAAATATCAATTTGCCCCAAAAGATAATAAAAAAATGGATCATTACAAGGAATTAGGGGTTCAGAGGAACGCGAGCAAGGAGGAAATCAAGCACGCTTTCCGGAATCTGGCGATGAAATTCCACCCGGACAAGCACTCGCAGTCGCCGGAGCACCTCCGCCGCTCCGCCACGCTCAGATTCAAGCAGCTGTCGGAGGCGTACGAAACCCTCATCGACGACCGCAAGCGGGCGGAGTATAATCTCGGCAGAAACGCGTACGGCGCTAGTCAGAGTCAAAATTACGGTCACAGTCACGGCGGCGGCGGATATAGTTACAGCAATCCATACGGATATGGTTACGGGCATGGTGGTGGCTCTGCGAGGAGGAGCAGCGGCAGCCACGGTGGTGCTTTTACGAAATTGGAGATGAGCCTTAGGTACCTCACCACTAAGAGTTTTCTTCTCAATGCCACATTTGTCAGGTAAATTTTTTATTTGCTTTAACGCTGTTGATGTTACATCTCTTTTTTGTGCTGGGGGTGTTTGTTTGTGGTTCGTAGTTGATATTCGTATTTGGTGATTTGTGAAGTTATCAGAGGATTTACAGTGATTGTTTGTGGTTCATAGTTGATATTCATATTTGGTGATTTGTGAAGCTATCAGAGGATTTACAGTGAATGAGTGTGAAATGTTGAAAGCTGAAAGCTTTTGAAGGATGATTTGTTTTCTACCTTCAAAGTTCCAAACAGTGGGAACTTTTCAGTTTTCTGATTCGATTTTATGCATTAGATCGTTTAGCACGGGATTTAGTTATATTTATTTGTATCCACCTCATTGTGTACAATTATCTCGATCGTCATATTGTTTTGCCTTTTCTTTCGAGTTTAGTTGCTGGAATTGGACTTTATTCATTATCTTTTTGGTTTCTCCTTGCGATAGCGTATGCAAAAGTGTGCTCAAAATATGAAAAAAAAAAAAA